CCCTAGGCAGCACTGGGGGCCTAATGACAGGGCCCTGCAGGGCAAATCTGGCTCACAGGGCCAGTTCTTTCACATCTCTATTCTAGGCTTATCTTCCTATGGGAAGTTCCTTTGCAAGGAAGAGCCAGACCTTTAAAAGGTTGTGGCAACACATCTGCAGCTATGATCTGGCTAAGGGGGACAAGGTTGCCTTATTGCTAGGCCCTGAATGGCCCCTAAACACTGATGCCCTAAAAAAGACTGGCAGTTGTGGAGCAGCCTGCTCAGTTACACTATATTATATATAAGGATTGAAGGGCCCAGCCCATTGGCTACAAGGCTATTTATAGAAAATAATGGCTGTTTTTGTTCATTGCTTAATTTCTGCTTGGCTATGTGTTCGTACCAATAAATATTACTTCACTAAAGGGTTTTATTTTTGGCCTGGTCTCACCCTATTTGGAACTTCCCTACTGTCATGAGCCCAGAGGAAGGCATGGATACTAAATTCCTATTTCTAACCATTGCATTCTCAACAGAAAGTGGACTCCTCGAAGGTCCACAGCAACTGACAATTCCCAGGCTGTAACTATTTCTTCTCTTGATAAGGAGAAGTATTAGCCATTTTAGATACCCTCAGAAATATTACCCAGGGGCTAAAGGAGACTAGGTCCCATTTTCAAAAGTGACTAGGTCCCATTTTCATAGCACTTAGAAGCTTAATCACCTGCCAATGGAAATAAGCATAGAGATAAAGCAGTAGATTTGTTCCACCTGTAGGCTCAGAAGTTATAAAGATCAGAGCATTGATGTACTAAGGAGACTTCTAGTCTCCTTTGTCATCAGAGGATGGAAGGGAATAAGGGGGAATCCTGCACATTTGTGTAATGTCATTTATGTAGAGCCATTCATGAATGAAGAAATGTCCTTCTTGTCCCATGCAATGAATAGGTACATGAGGTTTAATTACTGTTATTATTTCAGTTAGCACAGCTACAAATATTGTTAGAGATCAAGAAATTATCCATCACCTTTGGAATAATCCAGCCTCGGCTTTTTACCTCTATGGTCCCCTGCAGAATGAACTTAACCTTAGAGACTGACACAAACTTTCCTAGCTGTAAAACAAATTCACTGGTTGCTCTCACAGGATAACAGAAGCCAATTTATCTTGAGTACAAGTTATTTTAAACCAAGCACTGAGTGAAGACTCATAGCCTTTTCATTTATTTTTAACAAGTAAAACATAAATTGCTACACTGCTTTCAAATCTGTTTTTGAATGATAACCTGCACAGCAATTTTAAGAGCTGATCTTGAGGGGGAGTAGAGTGTCTGCAGCCATCACTGAAAACAGTGTGAATCACAGGCTTACTTTGTTTCAGGGGTAGCTTTGCCTGCTAAATCTTTGGCATGTTCTTGTTTTTCATGGGAGATGCGTGGATCTCTGAGGGGCAATTAGAAGTCAATTTGTGTTTAATAACTTCTCACTAAGAAGGGAAAGAAGATAGCTTTTTCTGCCACTTGAACTCAGAAATGGGCTGGAATCAGAACATAGAAGAAATATACAGTGAACTATGAATACTTTCTACTGCTGGTTCTCATCTGTTATTAATGTATTATTGACTATCATATTTACTTGAACATAAAATAACTCTGAATATAATACAGTCCCACAGGAATTAGATTCTGTTTATGGAAAATGTATACTTTTGTTATAATTTATCCCCTTCCCACTACTACAGCGGAGAAAATAAATATAGGGGGGTGAGGTAGCCTCCTTGCCCTCTGCTCCTCCCCAGCTGCTTCCCCCTGTAAACTTTTCCCACCAGACCCTACTTTCCCTGAACATATAGAAGTAAGATGCAAATTTGAAACCATTGAGCTTGTAATAAATGTACATGTAGTAATTTGAATATAGTACCTATAGACTTAGTTCATCCAGAATTGATGCGTGTTACCTGCACGTTGAAACTTGTAGCACAGGTTCTCCTCAAACATATTTTTTAAGCAGCACTTTTGTACGTACCTATATATAGTACAAGCTATTCATAATATTGGTCCAAAGCCAAGGGGCTTATGATTTACCATATAGATTTTTGGGCTGGGCCCTACCAGAAACCATAGTCACTCCACAGCTCAGCACTGCTCAGTATATGTGCCTGTACTCCAGACACCCCTTACAAAAGAGCCATGTGCTAATTAGCTCCCTGGTACTCATATGCTTATAGCCAATTAACTTCAAAGGGACTATTTCTGGTAGAAATCACTGCATCCAGCTCATTGAGGATCAGGCTCTAAAAAAATAACACTTATCTTAATACAACTTTTTTTGTCTTAATTTCGGTAAGTCTGGGATCCCTGAAAGGTTTGCAGTGAGTTACCACTGGGTGAAATGACTGTTAGTTGGGACCTGATTTTTAGAGGTGCTGAGAACTCACAGGTGGCACAAAAAAATCAATATATTCAGGGGTGGGGAGAAAGGAATAAAAACTTTTAATGTTTTCTTCCTACTTTCTGTGACCAGCAGCAGGAGCTGAGTGAAAAAGCTGGAAGACATTTGCCCACAGCTCTCATTGGGGTGGTTCCAGGGGTTGCATGTCTACCTTCTTTGATTCCTGCTCCACACAGAGTTTAAAACCAACTGCTAGGCAGTGGCGACAGCATTTCTAGTTAGGCAGTGCTGAGGGAGTCACTAGATTTCATAGAAAATGAGGGTTGGAAGGGACATCAGGAAGTCATCTAGTCCAACCCTTTCCCTTTGCTCAAAGGGTTTGCCTACCTGGGTCTTAAAAACTTCCAAGGATGGAAATTCCACCACTTCTCTGGGTAACCTCTTCTGGTGTTTAACTACCCCCCTTAGTGAAAAAGTTCATCCTAATATCTAACCTAAACCTTGCTGCAACTTGAGACCATTGTTCCTTGTTTTACATCTGCCACCACTGAAACAATGCTCATTGTAATCTACCTGATCCCTTCTAAACTTTTAATTTCACAGGTGCTAATAGCCCTCTCTTCTGTTTATCAGTCTTGATGTTTCCCCAACCACGCTATCTCTCATTCTGCAATTCTGCTGTCTCTTTGCTGCTCCAGGGAATGGAGCTTCTATTTCACACCCCCTGCTGATACTTTTTCACTCATTTTAACTTGTTTTTGCTTCCATCTGAAACTGAATAATACAGCCCTTGGACCCTGGTATACCAGGAATGCTCCTGTCTCATTCTTAACTGGAGAAGAGCAGGTGTTGTTTTCCCATGCGATGATGCACCTCACCATCTGCACTCCCTTGTAAAAATTCCAGATCTGCTTCATAACTCTCTTCACAAATGCCATTTGTGACAACAGATAGGTGTTAAAGGATATAAATGAGAATATTTCATATTAGTTTAGGAAAGTGTTATGTAAAGCAATGTAAACTGTTTTCTTTGTAATCTCTGGTTGCAGGGAGTTGGGGGCGGGGAGGCGGGGGAGAAGATTTTGATTTTAATTTAAAGTAAAAAGACTACCTGAGAGTGACTTGGGTTTTTGCATATGCTGCATTATTAGCTGCCTCAAAAATTATTGCAAAGAAGAATTTTTCCAACTATTTGAGCTCATTGAATAAAAGATATCAGATTTACCCAAAGAGCCTTATACATTTTGCACTGTTTTTGGTTGTAGTTGTGTTGGTCTAAGGATATAGGGAGGCAAGGTTCTTTGGGTAGATGTGATATCTTTTATTAGACCAGCTGTGTAGCTGGAAAAAAGTTCTTTGCAAGCTTTGATTGCACCCAAAAATATGAAAAAAATAGCTCTTTCTTTTACCTATATCTTTCACATATCCACATAAATATAAAAAGAGTTAACTTTTTCACATTTCTTAAAGGCTAGACTTCAGGACAATGCCAAAACTCATGAGAGTTGGCGGTACCAGTCTAATACAAGGTATCATCTCTGAGCCAAGAGTTTGAGTTTTGCATTTCTTTTTGTCTCAGTTACCAAATACCTCCCTTGTACGTTTCGTCAGGTACCCAGGTTGTAGCTGTATTGGAGGAAGAGGAAAAAGCAATCAGGACTGGTGGTAGAAGGGATATCTTTTATTAGACTAACTACATTTTTGCAAAAAAAAAAAAAAAATCTTTCACTGCAAGCACTTGGGCACAAATGCCCTTCATTAGGCATGGGAGAAGAGACAGTAAAAAGTTATCTTGGGTCGAGATGAGAGTTTCCCTTGCATAGTTTGAGCGCTGTTTCTATTACTGTGGGCACGTCCCACAACGGTTGAAATTCTAGTGCACGTCTGACCATTCCCATACACCCATTGCACACGGCCACGGCCCCCCAGCCCCCGGGGCGCCCTCCCGTCGCTCCCCAATAGCCGGAGAGGCTCTGGCCGGCTGCGGCGCTGCCTGGCGCCCTGCAGGGGGCGCGCGCGAGCTGCCTGGCGGCTGGTGCCGGCGGTGCTGAGCGGACGCGGGCGAAGCGCGGGCGCAGTGCGTAG